TAGCTAACAAGGCAACTTGTTCTTCAAGGAACTCTAAAGTCACCCAGACCACTTCATTACCATAAAATTATCTGGGTGCAGAGGTCCTGTATGTTTAACCCTTCAAGGTAAAAGAATGCAGTTTTTCAGAAAGGAAATTGCTTACTTTGACGGGTTAAACATGCTTTTAGGGACAAGGACACTATAGGATTAGGAATACAGGTATCCTAACGCTTTAAATATTTCAATACTTAAATTGGAGAGGTTTCAGGCCACTCCATTCACTATAACCACTACATCACACTGTAGTATTTATGGTGCTTAAAGTGTTACTTTAAGTTTAGAAAGTTTAATGTTTCTATATTGTTATCATCATGCCAAGCGGTGTTTTGAATACCATTAGGGGACTGTAATGCGACTCAGCGATCTTTCCAAACTCTGTTTTTTTATGGCCTACTGTTTTATGGCTGTGGACAGGACCAGATGCTTACTTGCAACCAGAAGGGGAAAAAATGACTTCTGTTGACATAAATGCAGTGTACACAATACTGTGTCTATATATTGATTTAGTGGGTGCAATATACTGGATTTACCGGTTTTTGTGTGTCACTAGGCATTCTAATCAATGGTATATGTATATGTGTGTACACGGAGCAAGCAGTGTACTAGTTGTGTAATAACTAATACCTAGACAAAGGAACTGCTTTTTGTGAGAGTTACTGAACTGTGGTTGGGGTGGTGTAGATAAAAGACTCGCCAAATGTTTTTCCAGAACCGCATTCAAATACATAACCGAGTACCTTAACTGAGTAGTTAAAAGCCTGATGCAGGGGTGAAGTAACTGACAAGTTTGTGTAGGACAATTAATAATCTAATTGCAAAATATTTAGAAACAAACATCTTTATAGCAGGGGTTCCCAATTAATTTTTTTTATTTTTTTTTGTGGAACCCTCCCTTCCCCCACAAAAAATATTTTGTGCCGTTGCATAAACCTTTTTTGTATGTGTCTTTGTGTCAAGGTGTGTGTATCTGTGTTTGTATGTGCCAGTGTGTATCTGTGTGTCAGTGTGTATGAATCTGACACACAGATACATACCTTGACACACAGATACACACACCTTGACACACAGTGTGTGTGTGTTTGTGTATCTGTGTGCCAAAGTGTGTGTATCCGTGTTTGTATGTGACAGTGTATGTCAAGGTGTGTGTATCTGTGTTGGTATGTGCCAGTGTATCTGTGTGTGTGTGTGTGTATGTATCTGACATTCAGATACACACACACACTGGCACATAGTGGCACACCGATACACACACTGACACACAGATATACACACTTTGACACACAGTATGTATCTGTATGTGTGTGTGTGTATGTATCTTTGTGCCAAGGTGTGTGTATCTATGTGTCAAAGTGTATGTATTTGTGGTTGTGTGTGCCAGTGAGTGTATCTGTGTGTGCGTATGTATTTGACACACAGATACACATACTGGCACATAGTGGCACACAGATACACACACCATGACACACAGATACACACACATTGACACGCAGTGTTTATCTGTGTGTGAGTGTGTGTGTGTATCTATCTGCGTGTCAAGGTGTTTGTATGTGCCAGTGTGTGTATCTGTGTGTCAGTGTCTTACTGTGTGTGTGCGCGTGTGTGTCTGACACACAGATACACACACTGGCACATAGTGACACACAGATACACACACCTTGACACACAGATACACACACAGACAGTGACATATACAGACAATGACACACATATATACACACACACACACGGTGACACATACACACACCTTGGCACATAGATACACAAACTGGCACATACACAAACAGATTCACACACATTGGGAGATGCACACACTGACACAGGTACACACACAGACAGATGTTTAAATTTTCTGTTCACTTACCTTTTTTCTGCATGAGGATCTTCAGTGGTGCAGGCTGAGGTTGGTGTTCTGCTCCCTCTCCCCCTCCCGGACCCTGTTTAGCGATACCAATCGGGTGGCACTTAATGCTTGGGCCACCCAAAGGGCAAATCGCCGCGGAACCCCAGTTCTCGCAGAACCCTAGGGTTCCACGGAACACTAATTGGGAAACGCTGCTTTATAGAGATATTCACTAAAGTGGGAATTATCAGGGATTTAAAGAAAATTCTAACAATGTTATTTCCTAAAGTGAGAATTCAAAGTGGATTTCTAATTTAAGGGCAGAGTAGTCGATCTGGAAGCATAGGCGACTTAGAGAATGTTTCCAGTTCAGCTATTTTTACCTTGACATGCTTCTCCTAGCAGGTGCTTCGTGTGCAAAGTAAAATCTGAAAACTGTGTTTGAGCTGAAACCCATCTAATCTTTAACTTGGGTCCATTTATGACAAAGCACAACCACGGTGTATGCTGCAAACATTTACCTCAATGCAACTGCGCTTATTAGACTTACATAGTTTTATGGGAATTGAATGAAGGGGTTGTGTGAGAAACACTGTCCGATGCAATTAAAATATATTCTACTCTAAAAAAACAACAACATTCTACATTCAATCACTAAAGGCATAACTTCAAACAGTACATAAGTAAAACAAATTCAAAGAGGAGCAACAAATATGTTACCTATAGAGACAAGCCAATTCTTAACGATACCAAATAAAGCAGGAACGTATTGCTTTTATAAAAAAAATATTATAATACTTACTACCATGAATGCAGAAATTAAATAAAATCTTAATTTTTTAACGAGTCTCACACATATCTCAATAGGGCAATACAGTTAGGGAAAAAGTATTTGATCCCCTGCTGATTTTGAAAATTTGTCCACTGACAAAGAAATGATTAGTCTATAATTTTAATGGTAGGTGTATTTTAACAGTAAGAGACAGAATAAAAAAAAAATCCAGAAAAACCCATGTCAAAAAAAAGTAATAAATTGATTTGCATGTCAATGAGTGAAATAAGTATTTGACCCCTTCGACTTAGTACTTGGTGGCAAAATCCTTGTTTTCTCACAGAAGTCAGACGTTTCTTGTAGTTGGCCACCAGGTTTGCACACAATTCAGGAGGGATTTTGTCCCACTCCTCTTTGCAGATCCTCTCTAAGTCATTAAGGTTTCGAGGCTGACTTTGGCAACTCGAACCTTCAGCTCCCTCCACAAATTTTCTATGGGATTAAGGGCTGGAGAATAGCTAGGCCACTCCAGGACCTTGATGTGCTTCTTCTTGAGCCACTCCTTTGTTGCCTTGGCTGTGTGTTTTGGGTCATTGTCATGCTGGAATACCCATCCACGACCAATTTCAATGCCCTGACTGAGGGAAGGTGGTTCTCACTCAAGATTTGATGATACATGTCCCCGTCCATCATGCCTTTGATACAGTGCAGTTGTCCTGTCCCCTTAGCAGAAAAACACAAAGCCTAATGTTTCCACCTCCATGTTTGACAGTGGGGAGGGTGTTCTTGGGGTCATAGGCAGCATTCTTCCTCCTCTGATCAAGACGAGTTGAGTTGATGCTATATAAATTGATTTTGGTCTCATCTGACCACAACACTTTCACCCAGTTCTCCTCTAAATCATTCAGATGTTCATTGGCAACTTTCAGACGGACCTGTACATGTGCTTTCTTGAGCAGGGGGACCTTGTGGGCGCTGCAGGATTTCAGTCCTACATGGTGTAGTGTGTTATCAATTGTTTTCTTGGTGACTATGGTCCCAGCTGCCTTAAGATCATTGACAAGAACCTCCTGTGTAGTTCTGGGCTGGTTCCTCATTGTTCTCATGATCATTGAAACTCCACGAGGTGAGATCTTGCATGGAGCACCAGACCGAGGGAGACTGACAGTAATTTTGTGTTTCTTCCATTTGCGAATAATCGCACCAACTGTTGTCACCTTCTCACCAAGCTGCTTGGCGATGGTCTTGTAGCCCATTCCAGCCTTGTGTAGGTCTCCAATCTTGTCCCTGACATCCTTGGACAGCTCTTTGGTCTTGGCCATGGTGAAGAGTTTGGAATCTGATTGATTGCTTCTATGGACAGGTGTCTTTCATACAGGTAACAAACTGAGATTAGGATCGCTCCCTTTAAGGGTGTGCTCTGAATCTAAACTCGTTACCCGTACAAAAGACACCTGGGAGCCAAACATCTTGCTGATTGATAGGGGATCAAATACCTATTTCACTCATTGACATACAAATCAGTTTATAACTTTTTGACATGCGTTTTTCGGGCTATTTTTTTTTTTTGTTGTTATTCTGTCTTTCACTGTTAAAATACACTTACCATTAAAATTATAGACTGATCACGGCTTTGTCAGTGGACAAACGTTCAAAATCAGCAGGGGATTAAATACTTTTTCCCCTCACTGTATACATTGGAGATTTGTATTAAAATATATTATTTTGCATGGTTGAACAATATTACCTTCCAAAATCATGTTTTTATATGTTAAAAGGAACATTGTATTTTCAGAAACATAAACATGTTAAAATAGCTATTCAGGTTTTTTCACTTTTACTCCCACACCACACCGGTCTCGCCACAGCTGGCTCCGTCTCGCTCTGCTTTCATGGTTGAGATCATCAAACATGATGATCTCATCCAATCCAATACTTTCCCATAGGAGAGGATTGGGAGGCTATTGCTCATGTGTAGCAAAATTCCACAGTGTGCCAATCAGCATCTCCTCATAGAGATGCATTGAATTAATGCATCTCTATGGGGAATGTTCAGCGTCTCCATGCAGAGTGTGGAGACACTGAACGCTAGTGCTGCACACTGTCTCAGGAATCACCTTTAGTGGCCGTCTGAGTGATGGCCACTAGAGGTGTTCCTAGGCACCAATGAAAACACTTCCTTTTCTCTGAAAAGATAGTGTTTACATTGAAAAGTCTGCAGGTACATGCTATAGGCACCAGAACAACTACATGAAGCTGTAGTGATTCTGGTGCCTATACTGTCCCTTTAAGAAGATCATGAAATCAGCCATTGAGTCAGTCATGCTCTTGTCCTTTGCAGGCTTGCTATCTATGCACACATTTAATGGATACACAGGATAATGTAGTCTGCTGGCCACCAATACTTTCTCTGCCTGTTGACGAAGACATTTTATTTTTTAAACAATTGCTACATTTACTTATTTAAGCTGTCAGCTCTGTGCTTCTTTCACAACTAGAATTAAATGTTTTTAATAAGCACATGTCAGCGTCAGATATCTAAGGAGTTCATTTGCATTTGCAAACCATACAAAGACGCACAAAGATTCCAGGTCACACAGGGCCGCCTTTCGCAGTTAGCAAAAAAAAAAAACAGTTTACAGAGAACAATAGCAACACGACACGTAATGTGTCATTACAGCGACACGAAATAGCAGTGGCATCACAAAGCAGACAGAAAAATAGCAGTTTTCGAATAGTTAATAAGCACTTACCGTAGTGTACCATCGGAATAGTTTGATTGCCATTATTTGTGGGAGCATTGTATATGACAACAGCGGCAGCACCTTTCTTAGCTGCCACCAGGATTTTTTCTGAAAAAGTACAGTTCCCTCTTTCTATAAGGGCAATCCAAGGTTCCGTTGTTATGGAAAAATGTGTGTTCTCATTGCAGGCTTGAGGATTCGGGGATACAGGGACACCCACGAACCCTTGAGCATAAAGCACTGGCGAATTTAGTCCATAAAGGCCGCACTGACACGATTTTGTTATTGTGTTGTTGTGTTGCAAGCTGTAATAAGATAGACTTACATTGGCGTTCGGTTCTGCTAGGTTTGCAGCGTTAACATTTAATGTAATCCCCGTTATCAGGAGACAAGAAATGACAGATCCAGACACCCTATTCATTGCTTCTGCTATGATAATAAATAGGCGTGTGAAAAAATGTAAAATGAAAGCCAGCAGTTGTGACTGAACAGGCTTAGTGTTCCCTTTGTGATATCTCTGTGAAGGCTGAATGTCAGCAGAATGAAATTGACACCACATCTAGCAACATAAACCTTGTAGACGTCACCTCCATGCTACCTGCCTTATCAGGTAATCCCTTGACCAGTTTGACAAGGGCGGCTGATTTTAATGTAAATACCAATCGTTCAATGACAACATATGCTCATCACAAGGTGTTCACTGCTAGTCAGGGTATTAACCATGCTAATGGTGGGTAAACACTGGCACTGCAATGGTAGAGACATTAATGTATGTAAGAAAGAAGAAATTATAGCAATTTACCTAGAGTAATAAATACCTAACGGTTTACTCATTAATCTGAGAACCTTGGAGAACTGACAATGATATTGCTGATTCTTAGGGTAAAATAAGCTAAGCGGGAAAATGACTACAATTTGTCTATTTTGGGCATAAGATTTTCAATATTTTTGTCAGTTCTCCACAATTCACAGTTTAACAGACCAAGACTGTTGTGCACACTTTTCTCAAATGTATTTTAAAAGTACTGGTTATTATATCTTTATTGTTACCTTTATCTTTACATTGATACAAAAAAATATTTAAAAAATCACCTTTTTTATGCAATTCTTTTAAGTCATGGTAAATGTATTTCAGCCCAGGCAGTGAGGATTCTGGGAAATTGTTACCTGTGAAATGTTTCCATAGGATATTAGGAAGATGTAATCTTTAGAACTATTGTTAAAGGAACACTCTAAGAACCAGAACCACTGCAGCATAATCTAGTGGCTACATTTTCCAATAAGAACAACTATTCCCAGTCTAAGGGCAGCAGGATGAAAGGAAGCAGGTCCTGGGGAAGTTGTAAATATTTGTACTATCTGTTTAAAGACCCCGCTTAATCTTAAAGTCACTTTAGTTTGCTGAAAAGCATTATGTGTGAAGAGTGTGTCCTCTATTTCATTTTACAAAAAATGCAGATTCCAATAAAAAATGGGCCCTTTTATAAATTAAAATGGTAACACCCCCTTGATTTTCCAGCAGACTCTTGGTTCAGTTATTTCCTGCTTTGGTTAGCTCCATGGAGCTAAACTCAAAGGGATGCAGCTGCGAAGAGCACCTGCCTTGGACAGCCACAGAAAATGTAGGCGGGGCTAGAAGGGGAGGGCTTGCAAAGGCTGCAGACAAGAGAACTTCAGCATTTGCAAACTGTCCCCAATAAAAAAAAAAAAAAAAATCATTATTAAATGTGCACGTTTTCATTTGAGATATATCTACTAAACTGTGAATTGTATTTATTTTGTATTTGGGCAGTGGAGTGTGCCTTTTACATTGTTTCTGTTATGATAAAAATAGACATGTAAAGCAATGAAAAATGAAAACTAGTAGTGTCTGTTAGTTAGTGGTTAGTGTGTGAGAGTGTGTGTTTGAGTGTTATTGTCAGAATGAGTGTAACTACTATCTGAAAGTGTGAGAGAGTGCAGCTGTTTAATCATTTGTGTTTGATGGTGTACATAAGGGGAACATAAAAACATAGACTTGTTTGTTCCTATAGCATCTATAAAACGAAATACAGCACAAAGTATATTGCTAAAAGTTATTGAATGTAGCCCATGGATCAGCACAGCTAAGAGGAATAGGCCTTGACAGAGCCAGGAGGTAGACATAGCAGCCACAGGACGTTAGTGACAGCTAGCATGCTGGGTAGGGCGGAGCCATAAGGGGAGTATTTATACCGGCCAATTTAACTGAACCTAAGCTTACCTGTCCGTTGTCCCTCCCACCCTCCGTGTATTTGGTTAGGTTAGTTGATTTCCCGTTTTTTCACAGCAGCGGGGAATGGCCTGGTTAAATCGGAGGGAAAATGGAGGAGAAAGTGGGCATCCTGAGGTTTAGTGTGGATTGGGCAGTGTTGCACGTGGTTGGTAGGTTCGAGCCCGTCGGTGGCTCTGAACCTGGGGGCGTGGTGGTGTCTTGGTACACCCAACACTGGAACTGGTGGGTAGCGGTGTCTTGGTCCCCCCCAACACTGGAACTGGTAGGTAGTGGTGTCTCAGTACACCCCTACAGTTTCTGTATTAACATGTTATTTAGATTATCTATTGTTATTATTGTGGGGTCATTGCTAGGGGTATGTTATGTATATGGGGGATGTTAACGTTATTAAGATTTGTTGGCAATGACCCCATTTGTTATTCCTTAGTTATTTTATTAATAATTTAATAAAGCTGTGGACTAATTATTTCCAACAGTATAACCTGTGTTTTAATGGGGGTTTGGGTAAGGTTAGCGCATATGCCGGCAAATGCGACTGTGCGCCTGTCATGTCTTTGCAGAATGTCTGTAACAATTTTTATTTTTGGAGCAGACGGAAGTGAAATATGAGAGTGGAACTGTGGCAGAATATTGCAAAAGAGGTCAGCACAGTTGATGGGAATGAAAGTAATAAAAATAAAAACTCAGAAGGTTGTAAAGAAATTGTAAGCCTAGTTTTGACAAAAGGAGCATTGGTTTGGTTTCAGAGTTATTTTGCTAAAGTGAATTCAATGTGAATTTAAAATGTAAAGTTGAACTTAAAAGGACACTGTAGTCACCAGAACAACTACAGCTTAATGTAGTTGTTCTGGTGAGTATAACAGTTCCCTTCTGGCATTTTCATGTAAACACTGCCTTTTCAGAGATAAGGCAGTGTTTACATTGCCCCTAGGGACACCTCCAAGTGGCCACTCCTTAAATGGCCACTGGAGGGGCCTCCTGGCTCAGGGCTGCACAGTAAGCAGCCCTGCCGGTCAGCATCCCCACGCTCTGCATGGAGACGCTGAATTTTATAACATGACAGGAGGCTTGGTATTTTGCATAAACTTTCTTTACTAACTCCATGGCAGCAAAGAAAAAACAGTAAAAACAAAGAACCAATCAGAGTGAGTCAGAGTATATATAAGTCCAGGCATAGCCAATCATTTCCTCTTTCTTTGCTGCTCCATCACAAGTATCAGGTCAGAGTACTACTTCTGTAATTGTATATAGATATATATATATATATATATGCTACGGTATATTGTATATTGCTTTCACTGGGGATGGTAGGGGGTCCATTGCCAGGTCCCCAACTAGTGTACAGTACAATCCTGCACGTTTTTACCTCATAATTTACCTCATAATTATCCCCTCAGGCTACTCTCATAAGCGGAGGCAGCCTGTCAGAATATTCCCCCTCTCTCCCCGTTAAGCCACTTTCCCTAATACTGCCCACGCTATTCACACCACCCCTGTGTGAACGGAACAGGCGATTCATTTCCTTACCGTCATTCATCCACTTGTGCTGGCTGCAGTGCTGGCCTAGCGTGGAACCTCGTTCCCTCCCCAGCTCCCCCCAGGCCATCCGCAGTGAAGACTGTGTGCACGGACCGGGCAACCCCTCCCCCGTTCGGGAGTTGGTAAGCACGAACAGAGCCTTGTCTGAATTGCCCCGAAGCCCATAGCTTCACCTCTCGTGTTCAAGAACAAATCTGCCGAACGCTGTACCAATTACATGCTTATAAACTCATGAACAGTGCTGTCTCTTCAGCACCCATTCGTGGGGTTACACCACTCATTCACCTGAATGCATTCGGCTGTTTGTTTGAAGAACAAATCTGCCGAATGCAATATTACTTACACAGTATCCCGCAAAGTTTTCGCAGGCTTGTTCTGGTGAGTATAACAGTTCCCTTCTGGCATTTTCATGTAAACACTGCCTTTTCAGAGATAAGGCAGTGTTTACATTGCCCCTAGGGACACCTCCAAGTGGCCACTCCTTAAATGGCCACTGGAGGGGCCTCCTGGCTCAGGGCTGCACAGTAAGCAGCCCTGCCGGTCAGCATCCCCACGCTCTGCATGGAGACGCTGAATTTTATAACATGACAGGAGGCTTGGTATTTTGCATAAACTTTCTTTACTAACTCCATAGCAGCAAAGAAAAAACAGTAAAAACAAAGAACCAATCAGAGTGAGTCAGAGTATATATAAGTCCAGGCATAGCCAATCATTTCCTCTTTCTTTGCTGCTCCATCACAAGTATCAGGTCAGAGTACTACTTCTGTAATTGTATATAGATATATATATATATATATGCTACGGTATATTGTATATTGCTTTCACTGGGGATGGTAGGGGGTCCATTGCCAGGTCCCCAACTAGTGTACAGTACAATCCTGCACGTTTTTACCTCATAATTTACCTCATAATTATCCCCTCAGGCTACTCTCATAATCGGAGGCAGCCTGTCAGAATATTCCCCTCTCCCCCGTTCGCCACTTTCCCTAATACTGCCCGCGCTATTCACACCACCCCTGTGTGAACGGAACAGGCGATTCATTTCCTTACCGTCATTCATCCACTTGTGCTTGCTGCAGTGCTGGCCTAGCGTGGAACCTCGTTCCCTCCCCAGCTCCCCCCCCCCAGGCCATCCACAGTGAAGACTGTGTGCACGGACCGGGCAACCCCTCCCCCGTTCGGGAGTTGGTAAGCACGAACAGAGCCTTGTCTGAATTGCCCCGAAGCCCATAGCTTCACCTCTCGTGTTCAAGAACAAATCTGCCGAACGCTGGACCAATTACATGCTTATAAACTCATGAACAGTGCTGTCTCTTCAGCACCCATTCGTGGGGTTACACCACTCATTCACCTGAATGCATTCGGCTGTTTGTTTGAAGAACAAATCTGCCGAATGCAATATTACTTACACAGTATCCCGCAAAGTTTTCGCAGGCTTTTAAAGCGACAGTTATCCAAGACCTTGCGAGACCCGCGGCAGCCATCTTGTTGGTGTGTTGGATAAGGCGGATAATCCTGCAAGAAGTGGAAGCTCCGGATTTTGAACGGTTATTTACTACAAATGTGAGTGTTATTTATATATTTTCTCACAGGGACCTGTGCAACTGGGTATATTAACCCTTAGGGAG